AAAAAAAAAAAAAAAAAAAAAAAAAAAAAAAAAAAACAATATGCGATCATTTTGCTGACGGTATAATTTTATAACACGGACCTACATTTTTTACATTTGTTTAGTTTGGTATTGTGGAATATATATTTGTGGAATATAGGTTCTGAAATTAAAATTCTTTATAGGTGATATCATTGGAATATGAAGCCTATGAGAGCATGGCTTTAAAGGAACTGGAAAAGATCTGTTCTGAGCTAAGAATCCGGTGGCCAACTCTAAAGCATATTGCGATATATCATCGACTCGGGTGCGTTCCTGTAGCTGAAGAAAGTGTTGTAATTGCCGTATCTGCGCCTCATCGCCCAGCGGCATTGGAATCGGTTAGCTTTGCTATAGACAAGCTGAAATCGAGTGTGCCTATTTGGAAAAAGGAAATATATGAAAATGATAAGATCGGAGAATGGAAAGCAAATATGGAGTGCCCCTGGCCCCGTAAGAAACTATAAATTTCTCTTTTGTAATATTTAAAATACATACATAACATTACCGGAAAAGTTAAACGCGACTTTTTATTTTCTTATATTTTTTTCCAATTTATAACAGAATTTACCGAAACGTCTTCAAACGCGTTTCAATATTCTTCATGCAAAATTGAACACGAAGTAGAAAATAATTTTGAAAAGAAACTTGTACAAATCAGAATAGGTGACAGCGAGTTAACCAGACGGATAAAATGTTTTTTGAAAAGGAAACGGGATGAAATTAATCTCCACAATATAATAGACTTCAAGCAACAATTGACAGATAGGGCACATACAGAATCGACGCTACCAAAAGATTCATGTGCGCGCACTCAAAGTATTCTTGTAAAGCAGCAACAATCAATCAGTCATATAAGAGGTAAGAGAATGCATATATATCATATCATATCATATATATATCATCTCATTCGCTGTTTTGATTATATTATTGTAGTATATCGCGCTTTTGAAGATAGGGGACAAACACGACCTAACTATTCTTCTCAATTAAATAAGCTAATGACTACAAAACATCAACACTGTGAACTGGTTAAAAGCAATGTAGTGAAAAATGCGCGCTTAAAAAATATAGAAGAATATTTGCATATTGCTCCGGACGACGAAGACAATATTTTTAATCGCATCAAAAATATAGAGAACAGAATTTTGATATTAGAATCTACTTCTCCAGAATATAAATATTATGTGAGTACTTTTTAAATTTTATTTATCAGTACGAGCTTTTTTAATTGTATATAACTTTTCCAGGAATCGAAGAATATTAACAAAAAAGAATTGAAAAAAGGAATCTATCAATCTAATAAGTTAAGTGAATTTATTTCGGGTATTAAAAGACAATACGAACTGTAGCCACAAAAGAAAAAGTGGTAAGAATATCGTATAAATATAAAAAATAAAGTATTTTTATATTAAGAGGCAAATGCAAATTGGTCTTTTATTCATTTATTTCAATAATACGAAAACGATTACAAAGTTATTGCCTGCTTTAAGATACATTTTGATTTAATTAAGAGAAAAAAGTTATTAAAAAATTACAGTTTATTGTGAGTTAAGCTTACTTAGTTAAAGAAAGGATTAACTTATGCGAGATTAATCTTAGGACAGTTATTAGGATAATAAAAATAAAATATATTTTATGACCATAAAGCAGTCTTCACTAACGTATTCTTGTTTAAATTGTGCTTTGTCAAGTACACGCATATAATATTATTATGATATGCCTTCTAAGGGTAGCTACAGAAGCCTGCACGAAGGCATTTGAAACGAGACACTTATGTTTTTGTACTGCTCATTGTCTCACTGTCTCGTTTTATTTATTTATTTATTTTTATTTTTTTTTTTTTTTTCAAAATAGAGTAAGTTTAAGCTAGGCGTACGAACGAAACATCGCAAGCTAAGAGCACATATCGAAAAATTCGGTAAGCAAAACTTGCAGAATAAGAAGCAACGAAAGAAGGAAATGATAAAGCACCGTTCGAATTTTCTTTCCGTTTATGCTATCAGATAGTGTTGCCAGCTTAGACGATTTCAGGCTAGATCTAGCATATTACTATTGAATACACAAACAAGCACATTTTTAATTAGAAATAAAAAGGTTCATATAGTACCTAATATTGCAGTATATTATAGGGTAGAATAGAAAAAATAGTGAATTTCAGCAAACATGAAAAAAAAAAAATAATAATGTCTAAATATATCAGCTAATTATACTCATTCACGAAGTGAATTAGTATATTGGTTTTGTGCAATGTCCGT